CGATTTCCTCAAGTCATTTGCCTTGTTCGCCTTCCTGAAGAATTTATTCGACGTCCGCTGGTCGCCCGATGCTGCCCGAGATCGCGTGGCGCAGTTCGAGGGCTCGGCCTACGGGGGCCGCAGAGTGCACCAGCGCGCCAGGGCACTTCGAGAGGCTATCAACCAACCCGGGAACGCCGCGCTTGCACTCAGTGCGTTGCCCTGGTTGTCAAAGAGTTTCTTCTTCTCGTTGACCGACGCCTTGCAACGGGCACAAGCCCAGGAGCGCAAACTTCGGGCGGAAGCGCCCCCTCTTCGCAGGGACGGGCACGCCATCCAGAAGCGAGTGGGCTGGCAGGCCAGGGCGAGGGAGCTCCTCGACCCTCGTTCGGAGGCCCCGGCGAGAGCGCACACCCGAGCCCAGCTGAACCGATGGCGCTCGCCCAGGCTGCCCGGCCACAGAGTCGACAGACGGATGAGCACTCTACAGGCCGCGTCGGCCTGGCTGCCGCCGCGCGTGCAAGCGTGCCACGTCGGCTTGGTTGCCGCCGCGCGCGCAAGCTTGCCAAATCCGCACCGCATTCAATGGGTGGGTGACGAACCGCCGCACGCAAGGCAATGGCCGGTGCATCTTCGGCTGCAGCGCCGAAGACAGCCTCGAACACTACGCTTTCTGCAGCGGTCTTCATGCCTGCTGCGCTCGGAGACTGAACCTGCGCGAGCCGCCGCCTGAATGTTGTCTCGGCGACTTCCTGGGCATACGGTGCGGCCCCTTTGCGCAGATGCAGCATCGGCGGCGGCGGCCAGAGCCACCTGCAGTCTACGCGATGCACAGGACACGCGACGCCGTCAGACACGGCGCGCGCTCCGCGGAGTGCGCGGAATTGTTTAGAGGTTTTCTGCGCGAGGCCGCCCCGCGGCCATGGGAAAGCCATGAGCCTGGGTGCCTCCGCCTTCCAGCGGCCGCGCCCCGAGTGAATCCCACTCACGCTGCACATTGCTTGCCCGAGCCCGGGGCCATTGCCGCAATTTGCCTTTCCGGCTTGGCGTCGATGTGTTGGTCTTTGCTTGCCGCTCTACTTGCGCTCTTTCACTTTTCTTGCTTGCGTTCGCTGCGAATTCTCCCCCTTGCCGGCACGAGCGGCGGCGCTCGCAACGGAATGTCATCCACAGCGCAGCCTGCGATGCTCCGTCTCCTGCGCGGTTGGACGCTCAAGAGGGGGTTCCCGCGCAAACGGAACCAACAGCTTGACGTTGGTGACTGGCACAGCATGTTAGTGATGTCCCGGCCGCTTTGCCGATATCGCAACTGCGTGGGTCGGTTCGGGGCGACGCCTGAGAATATCCCGCACCCCCCCCCCCTTCTCTTCCTCCCGCGCTCGCCTCCCAGAGGCGGAGCTCCGGCTAACCCCTCTGGGGTGGGCCGGCACTTCGCCTCCTCTGCCTGCCTCTTCCTCGCCCCCCCCGTGCACGTCGTCTCACCCGGCCTTGGGAGAGGGCAGCCCGGGTTTTTTTCTCGCCAGCGCTTAGGAGAACGCGTTCGCAACAAATGTGGCTGTTTTATTTCGTTTAAGTTGTGATCGGTCGCCAGTGTCTGCTTGGCTCCTGGCTAGGGTCTCGCCTCGTTGTTTTCCTTGTTTCTTCCACCACTTCTCATTCGGTCGTTGTTTTTTTCGCGGGCCTGGTCAGCCCTGGTCTTGCCTCGTCCTCGTTGTAACGTCGCCCCGCTCTGTTTCGCTGTATCACTTTATTTCCCTAATCGTGCTGCCGCCTGACCGCTCGATTCTCGAAGGCGTGTAAGTTTGCGTGGTGATTCATGGAGCTTCCAGTGCGCCTTAGCTTGAACCCCATCGTGGGACTTTGAATGTTCCTCCTCCCCCCTCCTCACTCCCTCCCCCTCCTTTTTCGTCCTCCTCCTCGTCCTCTTGCCCCTCTTAGTTTACGTGGTCACTCTCGGAGCTCGGGCTCTGCTATGAAATTCTGCTTTTCGGCAAGATTTTAATGCCGAGGTCGCGCGTAAGGACTCGCCTATCGCAGGTTGGCCCGAACGTTGCACCTGGTGTGTTGGAGAACCTTTTCCATTTCCCTCTCCTTCCTCTCCTCCTGCCCCCTTCTATCCGAGTCATGTGTTACTGCAGATGTTTGGTCTCCTCGCCCCGCGGCCGATTTCGACCGGCGTGTTTTTTTTCGGCCACGCTCGCAGGACAGCTTGTGGAGCAGGGGCTCGGCGATAGTTCTGCATTCGCATGATGAGTCGTCGTCCGTGTCCGTGGTGCGGGATAGCCCCCAACTTGGTTAGGACCGCCCGCCCGACACGACTTGGTTAGGACCGCCCGCCCAACTAGCTGACGCGACTTGGTCAGGACCGCCCGCCCGACACGACTTGGTTAGGACCGCCCGCATCAACAGACACGACTTGGTCAGGAAAAAAATGTGTTGTTCCTCATGTGGCAGCAACGTCCCCTGGGAACCGCGCCACCACGCGAAGGCAATATGCAACTTGCTTGATGCATGCCAGGAGAGGTCCGCCACATGTACAGTGGGGGCCCTTGCCAAGAAACACCCTGCTTGCCTCCAGGGTGCCCTAGGTGTCTTGGGTTTCGATGGTTCTGCTGCGGAAGCGCGGCGCTCCCACACCGAGACTCAAGAGACGCACTGGGGCCTCAGGGTTGGGTTTCTTGTGGAAGGTTTCTTGTGGGCCGACCTCCACTGCACATCATACTCAGGAGTGATCGTCGCCCCCATCCTCCTCCTCCTCCTCCTCCTCCTCCTCCTCCTCCTCCTCCTTACTCCCCGTCCTCCAACTCCTCCTCCTCCTCCTCCTCCTCCTCCTCCTTCTCCTCCTTACTCCCCGTCCTCCAACTCCTCCTCCTCCTCCTCATCCTCCTCCTCCTCCTCCTCCTCCTCCTCCTTACTCCCCGTCCTCGTCCTCCTCCTCCTCCTCCTCCTCCTCCTCCTCCTCCTCCTCCTCCTCCTATGCCCTCGCCCGAGCACTGCTCTCGAGCTGCAGGAGGCCTGCCAGTCGGCGCCGAGGCCCAGTGCCGCGAGCTCCCTGGCGGACGGGGGCCGCGGGGCGAGGACGAGGGCCAGGACCTTCCCGTGAGGGCGGGGGCGAAGCTTGACCATCGTAAGTGGGCCATGTCCCAGGAGGGAAAAACTGTTTTTTTTTTGTCAGCAGCCGCAAGCGAGAGCGCAAACGGCGAGTCGAGTCAGAGCGGGCCGCGCAAAGACGAATTACCTAAAGCCAACGGGGCCTCAGGCATCACCACGGCGGGCAGGGCCGGCGGGTGGGGGTGCAGGTTGCGGCTGCCGGGGGCTGAGCCAGGGCAACGCGCAAATTGGCAGGAGGGAAAACACACAGACACAATTAATCGTCGATTCCCCAGAAAATATGGGAGAATGTGGGAACTGGGGGGGGGAGACAAAAACCCAGAAGATATGGGAAGATATGGGGAATCTTGTTATTTGTGTGTATGTTTTTGCGTGTCCCAGGGCCCCTTCAATGTCCCCCTACGGGAGGAAGATTCAAAAATAGCCCAAGAGCAGTATGAAGATGATGTGTCTATGTGTTGCGCATGTTTGATGATGTTTGATTTTGTCTTCCAAAGCCCGCCTGCGGGAGGAATGCCCCGCCTACTTTCCGTCGTAGGGAGGTCCCAGGCATCGATACACGGAGGGGTAAGCGGTTGTCGCCCTTTGCCAGGAAGTTGCTCCAGCCCTCGGTGTGGAGGTCTGTGAGTCGGCCAAGAAACGGGCGGTGGCTCAGGATGAGATGCTCACAGATGGCCCACGAGGCTGTCTTGGGCCATTCTTCGGCCGTTCGCCCAACTCCCCACTCGTATCCCTGGCCCCCCTTTCCTCTTGCATGTCTTCAGTGGGGGCAGCACCCGGACCACTACCGAACCACTTGGGAGCAGGAGGGGGACGACGACGAAAACAAGTCGACGACGACGACGACGACGACGACGAGGACAACGACAACGACAAGGGGACGAGGGCGGCGAGGACGACAGCGACGGCGAGGACGACGAGGACGACAAGGACGACAAGGACGACAAGGAGCAGGAAGAGGAGAAAGACGACGACGAGTCGACAACGTCGGCGAGGTGGGGCCCTATTGGGCCGAGGCGATGGCCGGGGGGCCCTCTTCTATAGGGGGTACCACAGTCGCGCACTGGGGCCGAGCTCTGCAGCGCGTCGTCGTCGTTCTCGTCGTCTGTCTCGTCGTCGTCGTCTGTCTCGTCGTCGTCGTCGTTCCCGTCGTCGCATGGCACTCTAACCCTATGCACCAAGCCTGGACCAAACACCCTAGACCTAACACCCAGACCCTAGCACCCTGACCCTAACACCCTGCACTGTTCACCCTACGGTCGGGAAGTGGTGGATGGCAGGTCGATCCGCCGGTTCTGGCCCTCCGCGCCTCGGCCCGACACCCTACCAACTGCCCAGTCTCAAGGCGTCCGCCCCCCGAGCTGTCCCGAGCCTCCCGCCCCCGCGGAGCGGAGCGGAGCGACACGCGATCCGCTCGCAGGGCACAGCGTGCCGCCAGGGCCGCCGCCGCGACATTCTATCCAGAAGTTCGTGACCGGAGCACCCTGCACACCCTGACACCCTGACCCTAACACCTCATCGTCCAGGACGATGAGGTGTTAGGGTCCACCTGCAACTTCCATCCAGAAGTTCGTGACCGTAGCACCCTGCACACCCTGACACCCTGACCCGAACACCTCATCGTCCAGGACGATTCGTCCTGGCCTGCTCCACCCCCGTGGCAGCGGCGAGGTGGCGGGGAGAGGGAGGGAGGCGAGGAGGGGGCAGAGGGGGGCGGCACGCGCACGGGCGCGGCGCCGCGAATTCACTGATTCATCCGGCGCCCCGGGCCGCTCCGCCCGGGCTCGAACCAGCGCACACTTCGAATCGATCCGATGCCCCGACTCGACGCTGATTGATCCTGGCCTGCGCCGCCCCGCAGCGTCGGCTGCGAGGCGGCCGGGGCCCCCCGCGCGCGCTGCCCGGCCGAGGTCACCACCTACCACTGGGTGCGCCGCGAGCCGCCCGCCCCCGCGGGGGCCCCAGGCGCACGCGGCCCCGCGCGGCCTCCGCTGCCGCCTCCCTCGGCGCATAGGGATCCTCCTCCATTCCTTATCTCATATATATATATATATATATTAAGAAAAAACTTCTCCCAGTCGCACCCCGAGGCCAACATTTAGGGCGGGCTGGGCGCTTCGCTTGAGACTCCCTCACCTTTTCATGATCCTGAAGCTTAGCAGTTGGCAACAGCTCCACAGATGGAGGGGGGGGGGTCGAAATGAGGCTCTCGCCGTAGCGCGGCGCACATTCGTTGTACAGATTTACAAGAGCTTCACGGATTGAGAGCGGATGGTGTTCAAAATGCGGTTCTCGCTTTAGCGCGGCGCACATTCGTTTTAAAAACTCACAAGAGCTTCACGGATTGAGGGTGGATGGTTTTCAAAATGTGGTTCTCGCCATAGCGCGGCGCACATTCGTTTTGCAAACTTGCAAGAGCTTCACGGATTGAGGGCGGTCCCGTTTCAAAATGTAGTTCTCGCTTTAGCGCGGCGCACATTCGTTTTAAACTGTACAAGGGTTTCACGGGTTCCCATCATCAACGCCCCAGATTTTTTGGGGGAACGATTTAGGATTACGCGGGTGCAACAGTTACGTTGGTTCTCTTAGTTGAAGTCCCTGGAATTGCGTTCTGGCCCGATTCAGGATCGTCAGAACGCAACAGTCAGGTTGCTCCGTGGCGTTGGAATCCCGAGAGTAATGCTTTGGCATGCTGTAGGGTTTTCAAACGGTTGTTTTCCAGCGAGGCAGTTCCCTCAATGAGCATGAACCCTTCTTGTAGGGGCCTATGAAGAGGGAACGTGGAGGGAGGGTTTACTCCAACATCGTTGATGACTCTTGGGTTGCACTGGTCCTCCTCCTCATCATCATCATCCTCCTCCTCCTCCTCCTCCCCCTCCTCCTCCTCCTGATCCCTGATGGCTGTACGGGCTCATCGAACGCAGTCACACCCAGCTCAATCCCCGAGGGTTGAGCCGGTGTTGAGTGGGTGGCGCACCAACCAAGAGAGGGTATTCCCCTGGACGAGAGGGAGAACGACGGAAGGGGACGACCCGAGAGGGCAAACAAAGGGGGCGGAGGAGCAAGAGAGACGAGGAGTAGCAGGAGGGCAGCAGGCACGACGAGGAAAGGCGGAAGAAAAGTGGGAAGAGGCCCCGAGCAATCCTCATGCGCCCCCCCCGAACAGAAACAGGGACCGGGGCACAGGCGCAAGGAAGCCGTGCCGCCGCCTCAGTTCCAAGTAGCGAGTGGGGGGGGCGCTGTAGGGGTCCCCGGGCTGGCCAGGGCCTGGATACAGAGGGCTGCTGCACGTCCTCCAGGTCTGCCGACGCCACCCCTCCATCCTCCTTTTGGAGGAGGAGGAGGAGGAGGAGGAGGAGGAGGAGGAGGAGAGAGAAGGAGAGGCAAGGAGGAGGAGGAGGAGGAGGAGGAGGAGGAGCCCTACCCGCCCCGGGAACGCGAGGCGGGACAAAGGAGCGGCCACGAGGAGAAGCGAGCGGCAGCAGCGCGAAGGGCAGGGGGTGAGAGCCACACCGCGGTGTTCAAGTGCCACTGCCTCTTGCAGCAGTGTCGCGATTGACATGGAAGGCTCCAGAACATCCTGGATGGCCTCAGGACGGCCCAGGAGGCCTGGCAGAAACCCAAAGAGGACCCCAGAAGACCCACAGGACGGCCTGAAGAGGCTGAAATCATTATATCATCTACTTAGTGGGCCTCAGAAACGGCAGGGCCGTTGTTTCACCGTTTCCGAAAAAGTGCCCCTTGACAATAGGAACGGCGAAACCACGGCGACCGGAAACGGCAACAAAAACGGCTCCAGGATTGGAACCGGAGCGGGAACCCGTAAAAGAACGGCGACGGAACCAGTAAGAAACCGGCGTCGGAACCGGCACAAAAACGGCAAAGCGGAGCCGGTAAAAAAACGGCCCTGTCGTTTCCAGGGCCCACGAAGTCCCCGCCCACCCCCATTGTTCCTGTTCTTAGAACAGTGTTGGGTTCTAAGAACATCTCGTGGTAGGAATGCCAGGACGGTCGGTCCCTGCTCAACACCCCGCATCCTTGGGTACCTTCTCGTTGGCCGCCGGTGGCCACGGTGCTCCGGGCATGGCGAGAAAGGGCTTCGGCAGGGCGGCTGTGGAGCGCTGCAGTCTGACGTTTTGCGGGTTCGGGCCGAGCTCTGGCTGCTCCGCCGTGCGGCGGGTGTCGCGCTGGGTGCGGCGCCGTCGCGCTCCTCACAAAAACGGGGGGCGAGGGGAGGGGGGAGGGAGATATCGAGAGAGGGAGAGGTGGAGTCGACGATCCAAACTTGCTGCGGTGTGTCCTCAGTCAGAGAAGCGCACCTTTCTCTCGATGCTGTGGAGGGCCTCCTGCGACACGTTCTTCGCCTCCAGGTCATCCTTCCCCCTTCCTCCTTGGCCTGGTCGGGGAAGCCCGTGACAACAATCTGCCTGGAGCCGAGCTTGAAGCCGTTCATGTACTCAACGGCCTTCTTGACGGTGTTCTCGGTCGCATAGCAAACGGAGCCGCACTCTTTGTGCCCCCATCTGGCTCCAACGCGGGATCCCATCTCTCCGACTCCCGTTCCGACCCCGGCTCACATCCTTCCGACCTTGGCTCCGACTCCAGCTCCCATTTGTCCGACTCCAGCTCCCATCCTATTTCATCTCTCCGACTCCGGCTCCACTCCTGGATCCCATCTCTCCGACTCCAGCTCCCGCACTTGCGATTGCCATGCGACCATACGAGTGTGAAGCCGAGAAGCATTCACGACGGCATCACTATGCACGACACACACACAACGACTTCGACAACAAGGACACCGAAACATAGACGGCGCTCGAGCACCACTACGTAGAACCCACACCTGCAGACACCCAGAACCGAAGCCATTGACGCGAACGCCCAGCGAGACATCCCACGTCGACACCGACACCAAGGACTTCCTCCTCTTCCTCCCCCCTTCCTTTCTTCCCACGCAGGCTGACACGACCGACCCGAAGGACCATCCTCCCTCCGTCCCTCTCAATTTTTGTTTGCGCAATTGTCTCGCGTTGCATGTTGTCCAGAGACGCCAGATTCTGGAGGCCACGGCCTCGCCCACCCGGTCTTGAGTAGGCCCAGATGCTGTCTGCAACGGTGGTCGCATCGCATCGCATCGCAGTGGAGCCAGTCCCGACCGCGCAGGAGAACGTCTACCGGACAGGCAGAAGGTCGCAGTGTGCGCGGCGCCCAAGCGAGAGCCACAGTCTGGAAGCGGCCCGCCCTCCATCGGTGAAGCGGTTGCAAATATGTAAGCTTGAGGCCCACACATGGTAACAAAGTCTCAGGCGAAATTCACGGCCCGCCCTTCCGACGGGCCTTGGGGTGCGACCGGGAGGTGCTGTTCACAAGGAAGAGGAATGAAGGAAGAGGAGGAGGAGGAGGAGGAGAAGGAGGAGAGGAAGAGAAGGAGGAAGAGGAGGAGAAGGAGGGGCCAAGACCCCTGACGTCATGTTCCTTCACCACGTGGACCCCCGCAGAGGTCTGCGTCGTTTCCCGGGACCGAAGTCGCATCCCGAGTCGTTTTTACGGTCGCGGGGCCCAGTGAGGGGCCCAGTCAGAGCCCCTGGACGCCGAAAACCGTCCGGCGCGATTCTTTTCACAGTTCGAGGAGGTCCAGGAAGGGGGAGTAGGAAGAAGAGGGGGAGGAGGAGGAAGAGGAGGAGCAGGAGGAGGAGGAAGAGGAGGAGAAGGAGGAGTAGGAGGAGGGGGAGGAGGAGGAGGAGGAGGAGGAGGAGGAGGAGGGAAGGAGGAGGAGGAGGAGGAGGGAGGAGGGGGAGGAGGAGGGGGAGGAGGTCGTCGTCGTTGCGGCCGTGATGGCCACGACCGCAGCCACGACGAGAACGAAGGCCGCGGCAGTGGCCCTGCCCAGCGGCGGCCGCGACCACGGCCGCCCCAGAACTCTGCCGTCGTGCCGTGCCGTTTCACAACGCGCGGATCCCCAGAGTCTTGGATCGGGTTTGGCCAGGCCTCCTCCTCCTCTCTCCTCCTCCTCCTCCTCTCTCCTCCTCCTCCTCCTCCTCCTCCTCCTCCTCCTCCTCCTCCTCCTCCTCCTCCTCCTCCTCCTCCTCCTCCTCCTCCCCGGACCCCAACAAGTGCGCTAGTGTCGGGTTCGGCCAGGACCCCAGGTAAGGGGACCCGGTTAGTGGTAGGGCCCCGGAGCCCCTGAATGGGCCAGAATCACTAAACCAGGTTTGCCGCAGCTGGTGTTTTTTCGGGTGACGGCAGTTCCGGTGAGTGGAATGGGACGAGGGGGCCGTCCCCTGTACAGATCACTAAACCAGGTCCCACTAAACCCAGTTTTGCCAACGCCCGATTGGACCTCCAATGATCTGACCTGTTCAATCGCGGCGTTTCGTTGAGTTTTGGCCTCCGCGGGCAGCTGTCGGGCCCCATGACCATCAAACGATGATCCAGGACGCAGAACTAGCCCTGGGGAAGGGGCCAGGAGCTCGGGGGCCGCGGATTGAGAACATGATCTCGGAGCATGTCTGGGGATCCCCCGAGCTCTGGACCCCTTCCCTGGGGACGGCCTTCCGTCCCGGCTCTTCGATGGCCCGGGGTCCCCGTGCAGGCCAACAACCCCACGCGACGAGGCCGCGGCCGCGCGGCCGGGCGAAGGCCATGCAACTTTGAGATCCGACGTCGCGAGCAAGTGGCAACATCGACCAGAGCCCTAGACCCCATCTTTCTGCCGCAGCTCTCGGGCCGCATCGATCCGTGAGGTTCGCGGGGCCCGAGAGAAGACAAGATCACCCGGTGTGCAAAATTTGCAACGCCCAGATCCCAGGGTGAGACCTCGTGAGCCCAGACTCCGGACGCCGTGATTGTTTCATCACGTCGACCCCCAGAGGTCTCGACCCCTTCCCCTGGATCAGCTTCTCGTCCTGAGCCGATGTTCGACGGCCCCGAGGCTCAGGAAGGGCCCCCGGAGCCCGAGGACAGCGAAAAGCACCCTGTCGCGAGTTCCGTCGCAGCGCGAGGGGCCCTGGAAGTGCGGCCCCCTCGGGCCCCGTGCTGGCCCCGACCCTGACGCGGCCGCGACCCGAGCCCCTTCGAGGAGGACCGCTCCTCCTCCTCCTCCTCCTCCTCCTCCTCCTCCTCCTCCTCCTCCTCCTCCTCCTCCTCCTCCTCCTCTCCTCCTCCTCCTCTCCTCCTCCTCCTCCTCCTCCTCCTCCTCCTCCCTCCTCCTCCTCACTCCTCCTCCTCCTCCTCCTCCTCCTCCTCCGCCTCCTCCTCCCCTCCTCCTCCTCCCCTCCTCCTCCTCCTCCTCCTCCTCCTCCTCCTCCTCCTCCTCCTCCTCCTCCTCCTCCTCCTCCTCCTCCTCCTCCTCCTCCTCCTCATCATCATCATCATCATCATCATCATCATCATCATCATCCCTCCTCCTCCCTCCTCCGCCGCCGCCAGGCGCCCCTGCCGCCGAGCCGCCCGCGGACGCCGCGCCGAAGCCCGCCCTGGCCGCGCACGCCGGCGCCCAGCGCTGCGCCGCGGGGGCCGCCGACGGCGGCCCGGGCGCGGTGGCCCGGGCGGGAAACCAGAACCTCCCAAGGCTCGGGCGGCTCAGGCGACTCAGGCGAGGAGGAGGGGGAGGGGGAGGAGGGGGGGGAGGAGGAGGAGGAGGAGGAGGAGGAGGAGGAGGAGGAGGAGGAGGAGGAGGTGGAGGAGGAGGAGGAGGAAGAGGGACCACGGCTCTCAGGATCGCCCCCCCTTCCAGTCAGGACCACGGCCCTATGGCTTAGCGATCCCCAACTTCCAGGCGATCGCAAATCTGGATCAAGGGGGCGTGGCTTCGCGACGGGCCCCGTTTCCACGGGAAAGCGCGGATTGCCGCCGCCGAGCGAGGCAGCACCGGCCGCATTTTGGGGAGGGCACCCCTTCCGATCCATGGACACGGCGGCCGCTGGATCGCTAATCCATGTTTGCGCGCCCCCGAAAGACATCAAACCCAGACCCCCTCGCGGTGCGAAGAAAAAGCATGACAGGAGGCCCTTCCCCATGATCCGTGCGAGAAGGATTCAGGATGAAAAAACACCATGCCCGGGAAGGGGTCGAGATTTTTGGGGGTCGACGTTGTGAAAAGATCACGACGTCGGGGATCTGGGAACCCCGACCTCCCTAAACGTCCGACGAATTGAAAAGCCAGGGCGGAGGTGTCTCACCAGTTCCAGCCTCTGGAGACTCGGAGTCCCTCGCTGGGCCTCGGGGCCCTCAGGAAACAAGTCAGGACGAAGAGCCGGTCCTGGGGAAGAGGTCGGGAGTTCTGGGCCCCGGCCCAGATCTCCGGCGTGGACTCCCAGAGGTCGGGACCTCTTCCCGGGGACCAGCTCTCCATGCCGAGCCTTGCTGGTGAGTTGGCAGCCCCCAGGCCCAGAGAGGGCCCGAGAGGCCGAGAGTTGGCAAGAGTCCCCGTCATGGTTTGTTCACGGCTCGAGGGGGGCTGGGGGTCAGCTGCAGCGTATTTCACATGTGTGCCATATTTGTTGTTCCTACACATTCCTCCGTTCCGTATGCAATCATCTTCTGATGTCATCTTCGTCTCCATCCGTATCTTCATCCTCCTCGGTATAGAGGATTCCGTGGCACGGTTTGTCTGGATCATTTCGGGCATGCACTTTAATCCCCAGACGAACACGGACCAGAGCATTGGTTAATTTTGGGTGGTCGCGATGGCTTGCTCAAAAGTCTGGGGACCCATTTTCTTCATTTCGATCACAGCTCAAGTTGCTAAGGGCACATGGGGTTACACACGGATTCTGAAGTGGGTCCTATGTTGCCGAGCCGAGCTTATACATAGATTACAAATGCCCGAGGTGGTTGAAAGGGGGTTGGTAACTCTGCTAAGTTGGCTCCGTCCACTTAGCCCAGATTTCTGCCTCCTGTATGCCGCTGAAGGCACTTGCAGCCCGCTCATAAGCCAGATTAGGCCAGCTATAACCCTCGTTGTCATCCACTCGGAAGCCCCCCATAGCCCCTTAGCAACTCCAGCAGTGATCCAAGCAGGACCACGGCTGCTGCTTCTGCTGACCAGAAGGGTTGCTGACCATGCGATGTCCTGATGTATTAGTACGGAGTCCCGGGGGCCAGCGAGGGCCCCCAGGTTGGAAAACCCTGCGGTGCTCCGAGCAGGACAACGGCCGCTGCTTCCCCAGACCTGCGGCTTCCAGAGTTTTGTTTGCGGCTCCGGCTCCCCCTTGGCGGCCAGCCCGGGGGGGGGAAGTGAGAGGGGGCGGGCTTTCTCAGAAGGGTTGGAGGCTCCCGGCCTTCTGGGAAGTGTCATCAGCCTTCCCCGAGGAACAACAGAAAACTCTTCAGAAGGCAGGAGGGCTTCTGAGAAGCCCCGCGGCCTTTGAGAGGGCGTTCTCCTTCTCACTTCCCCCCCTCGCTCGCCGCCGACCCCCTAGCGCCGCTGGAACGGCCCGCGCGCTCACCGCGGGGATCCCTGAAGTCTCGGGAGGCATCGCGGCAATCGAGGAGGAGGGGGAGGAGGAGGAGGAGGAGGAGGAGGAGGAGGAGGAGGAGGAGGAGGAGGAGGAGGAGGAGGAGGAGGAGGAGGGGAGGAGGAGGAGGAGGGAGGAGAGGGGAGGGAGGCGGAGTAGGATGAGGAGGTGGAGGAGGAGGAGGAGGGAGGAGGAGAGGAAGAAGGGAGGATGAGGAGAGGAGGAGGAAGGAGGTGATGGGAGGGGAGGGAGGGGAGGGATGGAGGGGAGGGGAGGATGGAGGAGGAGGAGGAGGAGAGGAGAGGAAGGATGTGAGGAGGAGGACGAGGACAGGACGACGGAGGAGTATGATGAGTAAGTACGAGGATGACTAGTAGTAATGAGGATTAGGGAGAAGGGTCGAGGATCGAGAGAGTCTGGAATGAGGGAGGGGGGGCTCGGGGCTCCTGCTCCCCAGGTGGCCCGCGCGCCCACGCCCGCGCGCGCAGCATCGGCGCACGCCGCCCGCTCGCCCGACGCCCGGGCGGCCAGCGCCCGGGCGGCCCGGGCTGCCGACGCGGAGCGGGGCGGGCCGCATGGCGCCAGCCAGGACTGCCCGAGATCTCAAGCAGCGGCGGGGCGTCCCGGCTTGCCTACAGGCCCAGCAAAACTCCTCCTCCTCCTCCTCCTCCTCCTCCTCCTCCTCCTCCTCCTCCTCCTCCTCCTCCTCCTCCTCCTCCTCCTGCTTCTCCTTCCTTCTCCTCCTCCTCCTCCTGCTCCTCCTCCTCCTCATCCTCCTCCTGCTCCTCCTCCTCCTCATCATCCTCCTCCTGCTCCTCTCCTGCCTCCTCCTCCTCCTCCTCCATCCTCCCTTCCTCATCCTCCCCCTCCTCCTCCTCCTCCTCCTCCTCCTCCTCCTCCTCCTCTCCCCCGCCTCCTCTCCGTTCCTCCCCCCTCCCCCTCCTCCTCCTCCTCCTCCTCCTCCCCCCCCACCTCCACGCAAGAGTGACCTTTCGCCGGAGTGACCTTTGGTGCCGGCCTAGTGGGGTCTCCCGACCGCTGAGCGCGATGTGGTTGCAGCGGCTTGCGCGCCCAGGTTTGGCCACCCCGCATGCCCTGTTAAGCCGCGCACCAAAGGTTACTCGTACCCATGGGGTAATTTTCTCGTGTAGCCGATATAGGCTCACCCCAAACATGTAAAATTATCACAGTGCGACCCTACCTAGGACTTGGAGCCTCTAGGAAAGCAACATTAGTAGGATTTGGAGCCTCTAGTGGATGCTGTGCTGCGCTATGCTCTGCTATGATATGCTATGTTATGCTATGCTATGCTATGCTATGCTATGCTATGCTATGCTGCGCAATGCTGGGCTAGGCTAGGCTAGGCTAGGCTATGCTATGCTGCGCTATGCTATGCTGCGCTATGCTCTGCTGCGCTATGCTCTGCTATGATATGCTTTGCTATGCTATGCTATGCTATTGATTTGCCTTCGCTTTTGCCTTCACTTTTGCCTTTGCGTGTGCTTTTGCTTGGCACCCAGGGAGCTGGATCTGGATCTGGATGCCGGTTCCTCCATGACGGCCCATTGGCCTGCCGATCTCTGCCGATCCGATGTTTCCCGACTCGGCTGCCGATGCCCGCCGATCCGATTCGCTTTGATCGCCGATTCGGCTTCTCGGTCCGATGATGGGCTCTCCTGCCCTTCGCTGAGTCCCGGTCTGGAAGCGCTGCTTCGCGGCTGGTCCTGGTTCGTGGCCTGGCCCTGGCGGACCCAGGTTTGCACCGACCCGGGGCGCGGGAGGTCTTCGGGCCCTGGGATTAGGTCGGACGTGTCCCCCTACAGGCGGATGTTGGACGAAAAATTCAAGATTGTCAAAACATGTGTTTAAAAAGCTTAAACATTCCAAAAGATCGTCCTCTTACTATTTGTTTCACTATTTTTGAATATCCCCCCCGTAGGGGGACAGGCCCGATTTAACCCTGGGATTCCCGACGCGCTCGCGTTCCGAAAAAAAACACAGGG